GAATGCCGGTCCATTCTAGTGCGCGTGCGTACCGGAAACGTGAATCCTATTGGTCGACACCACATGGTCTGATGTCAGACCATAGGGTCTGTCCAATTCAATAATAACGAGATGCTCACGAGCTAGACGCTAGCCAGTTCTTTGCGTCGTGCCCGCGTGCTTGTATCGGTTTTATCGACAAGAAAACCGCACGTCGCGTCTGTAAAAAATCATTAAACAGCAGGACCATTTTCCTAGTTAAATACCATTACACATTCCATTGTCTCTTTAGTATCATCATTACAAGCCGGTCGGCAAGATCTTCTCTATTTATTGCTAATTTGGTGGTGTACGTTAGTCGCGTACGAAGGATTTTTGGTCAGAAAAGGAAACATAATTTGCGACATTTGTCAGGATTATATCCACGTGTGAGGTAAGTGTATACACAATGCTTTATTTTTAATAAAAATTCAATATTTTGATAATTATAAATATGATAGTATAGTTAACTTATTAGCAATATAAATTAAATAATTGACAATTAAGCAAATATTTCGCATTTCTGAAAACATTATAGGAAATTTATCTATTCATTAATTATATATTAATGAGAAGTTAATTCTTCAAATTTAATTCTTTCTGTGAAAGTATCATTACAATATCGAGGTATAAAAGTCCGTTAGTATATCTAGTTCACCTATACTGTTATCATTTCCAATGAGTTGTTTAATCACACAAGACTAGAGGAAATATAACATTCTATTACTAGACAGGAAATATACATTTCTATAATATCATTACTGCCACATTAATTTTATATCACGGATTAAACAATTGACAATAAATAAACTAAATTTGTTTTATTCTTGTAGTCAAATAAATACTACAGCTTCGTAATAATTATAAATGATCACCTATATTAGTATTGAATGTCTAAAAAATTAATTGCGCGATTAAGTATTAATTTTTATTATAAAATTTTTACAGTACTTTAAATTTCGGGAATTATATACACGTATTATATTTATATTATATATGTGTTATATACATTCAATTGAAACATGTTTCATGCTAAGGCACTGATACTAACTGATACTAAAGTTTCTCATAACAATCGATGTGTAGAAAAGCAATACTTCTATGAACGGCGTAGAGGTAGACTATATCAGTGTCATATAATAAATTTAATCGCGATCGGATTTTAGCTGAAAAATTATGTGTGAATAAATATCTACAGTAGTACCGGTGATGAAAAAGTTTGTGTAGGAAATGAACAATTAATTTATTTACTGCCTAGTTGAATGGAATCATGTATGGAATGTTGCAGTCGTACATTTTTCTCATGATTACAAGATCTATAGATAAATATCGTATCACATATAACAAGATATTAGTTTAGTAAGTATATTTGCGGTACGAATGAGTGAGTAATCCCGCGCTAACGTTAGTCTGACTTGCATAAACTTTTACTACTGCGTCATTTACCCGATATATTTAATGAGCAGGAAGTAATTTGTTTATAATTTTTCAAATTTACGAGGAATAATTCTATTTTTTCATATTTGTTATAAAATTACAGTGAATATATCTTTCATGGTTCTTATAAAGTAGAGTGTATTCAAATATTAATTTTTAAAAATATTGATATATTTTTTGGATTTCATTATGATTTTAAAATAATTAGAACAACAAGTCTATTTAAAAATATATTTATTATGAAATATTTAACTAACATGAGTTCTTATATTACTGTCTTTTATTTCTTGTTATAAATTCAGTTATATCAGTATTTATTTTATTATTATTGAATAGTAAATCACATTTTACATGAGAAAATTAATTTTAAATGAGAAGAACAAGGTCCCCAAAGTATATAATAACTTACTAATAATTTTATATACTTATTAATGAATAATGAACACGAATCCTTATTATACAACTTATATGGATGTTCAATGAGATTTATTCGTACGAACGTTTTGAAGATTTGATTTTCTACATCGTTGTTCATGGTTATTTTGACTTTATGCGCATCTATGTTGTGCAACACGTGATCAGCTCAAGCCCTAATGCTGAGTGGTCAGATTTTACTTATTGTTAGCCATATTTTTTTACACGATAAAATTAATCAAACCATGCTTAGAATATGCTAAATATTTCACAATAAAATTAATATTTTTAAGTTTGGGTCAGTTTAAAGCAGTTTCACTTTATACCATCAGTCTGAAAATTAATAATATTTATATATACCGTATTATTTATATAGCCAAGTTAAACGAACATAGGAAACTGATAGATAAACGTCAAATAATTAATTTGATATAACTTGTATGTTTAAGCAGCAATGAACTTGAATTAATCGCTATAATGTACGACGGCCTTTATTTGAACGATTATCATAATTTTCATCAAATTATTTAAATGTAACTGATACATATTCACTATATACTTAGCAACGCAAATAAGTATTAGAACTTATGTTACATAAATAATTATATTTAATATATTTAAAACATTATGTACTTAATATTTATATATTTTCAAATTTCAAATTTCAAATTTTAAATTAAATTCCAAGGCTGTTATGATTATTTTGTTATTAAATTAATACACGAACACCTTTTCAAATATAATCACATATTTCAAGGCTTTACTACATGCGAAAACAGTTTATAAATCTGAAATGAATTCAGTTGTAAGCAGATTCTTTTATTACATACATTCAATACATTACAGTATTGGCCAATTTAACGGAACTATCACCTTGGATAAACTCGACGTATTTTGAAGGCTAGTTGTGTTTACTCTTTCGGTATCGTTACGATCGACCTGTGAATTCGTAGAACACTTATATATACTTGTACACGCGGAAAAAGATGACACTAAACCGGGTACTTTTACGTGGCATAATACTATCGATTCAAGAAACGTTGAATTTTGAGAAGATAAAAAAAGAAAGAGAAAAAAAAAAGGAACCAGGGAATTATTACGAATTTTCAAGATTAGATGTCCGAGTAAAGGCTAGATAAATAAAAATATACGAATTTTGATATGCGTCTGCTATCGCACGTGGTAGGCAAAAAATGTACACGTGCACAATAAATATCTGGAAGGGAAAAAAATATCTAGAAGATAACCTCGAAAATAGAGGCTTATGTATAAAGTTGTTCGTTTGACGATATGCGATATAACCTAAAAAAATTTTGTTACTTTGCAAAGTTCATAAAGTTCAACTTGCTATGATATATTACATCAGCATGTAATGTATGGAAGAGCATACGAGAATAATAATTCGATATAATCGTACTTTTTCTCGTAGAATTTTTATGACGCAAATTTTGTATTTATGTGCAAAATCTGTTAATTTATTCCCTTATACCCACTGACACGTTATTTAAATGCAGTGATGAATATTCCATTTGAAATATTCTCATATTGTACGACTACCGGCTATTATTACATCAAAGCTTCTCGATTTACATAAACAGTTTACAATATTCTCGATAACATGTATTATTTGACCTTTATAGCCAAATTGTGGTATCACTGAAATTATACATAAAATTTAGAAAAGATTAGCAATGTACAACAGTTGTACATTGTTCAAAATATAATTTATTACTGCACAATGAGTATTTGTAAATACTACAAATTAAGTTAATTAAGTTAATTAAATATTACAAACTTGTAAAGACAGATTAACATATAAATATTATAATTTGTATATAATTGTTTTCGTAGGACATATATAATCGGGATATTGCTTGATCATTAATGTATAATTTAACTATAAATGATCGTTTAACGCTATTATTTAACAAGTATGGATTAAATATTATTTCGGATGGAGATATGAGAGAAAAGAAACAATATTATGTGATATGATCGTAATTAACTAAACACGCATGATTCGAAATTTTATCGGTGAAGTATCTTAATAAATTATTATGTAACAGTTATAACATGTGGTGATATAATTTCTATCGCATCTCTGTTAGGGTCAGGTCAACGTCGTATCGCGTGTTCTACTATTGCGTTCTAATCGAATATAAATCGAATAATCATGTAAACATAAAAAAAAAAAAAAAAAAATTTTAAATCTACCGGTTTTTCATATTCTTTACATACACAAATTTTGTGACGCAATATCATTGAATTGAAGCAAGTAATGTTATTTATATGTATTTAAACTATGAACAAAAAAATGTATTTTGCTTGTAAATTACTTTTTCCACTTGTTGCATAAATTGTACGGTGAAAGCCCAATGTATTTTCTTTTCTTGGCTGCATATTATTGACATTTATAACATTTATTAAAAAATGATTTTAAATGCCAGTTAAATAATATAAGAGTTGTATAATGTTTGAAATGAGCGTGAAATATTTCTAAAGGGTAAGTAGTACTGGTGACACTGAGCGAGCTGAGTTGCATTTTACAATATAGGGGCGCATAAAGTCACCACTAAACTGATTTATCCCGGAGTGAATCCAATTGAAATCACTCAATTAATCGCATGTCGAGAAGAGATACTTACTGCAGTAATCTAATACAATTGCTGAGACGTCTGAAGCATTCAACGGGACAGCTGGTTATTGCCGTCCTACATTTACGGAATTTTGGTTGCGATTAAGGACATATATTTTCGAATTAGTATTTTTATAGTATTCTTTTGATATAATTAAAAATCTGTAACTGTTTTTTTTTTCTTTTTCTCTTCTTTTTTTTGGGGGGGGGTG